CTCTCTCTCTCTCTCAAGTCTGAAAGCCATTAAGACAGGCCAGCCAACTGGAAACTTGGGGAGGAACTGAAGCAGTAGCTTTGAGGCAAAATTTCTTCTTCTCTGGGAAACCTCAGTTTTCGCTCTTAAAGCCTTCAACTGATTGGATGAGGCCCACCCATATTATGGAGAGTACTATACTTTTTATTAAGTTTTCAATTGAGGTAAAATTGGTTTGAAACATTATATACATTTCAGCTGTGCAACATTATAATTTAACATCTGTATACACTATGTCGTGTTCACCACCAAATGTCTAGTTTCCAGCTGACACCATACAGTTGATCCCCTTTACCCGTTTTGCCCTCCCTTCACCCTCTTTTCCCTCTGGTGACCACCAATCTTTCATCTGCCTCTGTATTTGTTTTTATTTTTTTTGTTCTTGTTGTTTGTTCATGTGTTTTGTTTTTATTTTATGTTCCACATATGAGTGAAATCATGTGGTATTTGTCTTTTTCCATCTGACTTATTTCACTTAGCATTATACCCTAAGGTCCATCCGTGTAGTTACAAATGACGGGATTTCTAATGTGCTTTTACTTAAAGTCAACTGATGGCATATGTTAGCCACATCTACAAAATTCATAGCCAACACATAGATCAGTGTTTGATTAAATACTTGGATACTATATCCTAGCCAAGTTGTACCATTTTAATCTGCTCTGAGTCCTAGTTCCCGGATAAAACACCTAACCTTCTTCTGGAAACATGACTGCTACAAGGCATCTTCCCGTTTCTTGGTAAGGTCATTTCCCTATTCATGAGTAGGAGATGTAGGGAATGAGAAATTAAAAGCTTTAAATTTTTTCTTTTGAATAGCTCTAGTATCCAGAGAAACACTAAGAAATGGCCAGTCTAGATGAGAATTTGGCATCTAGTTAAACTTCTATAAGCCACAGTACTTCTTCCTCCAAGAGCAAAAATTAACCGCATGTGTTTCAGCAAGAGGCCCTCCAACAGGGGGTGATTTGAGTCTCTTTGTTTTATGTCAAAAGTGTAACCAAGCATCTCCATTGGCCAAAGTGCTCACTCTAGCTTTGCAAGGAACTTATTATCATGCTCTGGTGACATGAATTTTGCGTGCACACCACTCAGACCTTGGGCTCTGCCTAATCTAGCTGCCACTAAACTGAGCAGGACATGAGATTTTTTTTTTTAAAAAGTGCGCATCGGGAAAATAAGAAAGAATATTACTTCTCCTAAATTATCAATTCTCCTTCCACATTCAACATATAAATAAAGCCTTTGAATTATTCATGCTGGATCAATCAAAAGTCTTCGTGACAAAGATGTGCTAATTCAGGCCTTCTCTAAACTGATTGGTCTGCCCCCCTCGGGGCTCCCCTTTCCCTCATTACCACCCCAAATCAAGGTACATTAAATAGGCTTCCGAGATAATTGGGTGATTCGAGCTCATACTTCTAAAACTTATAAATATCCTTTTAGAATAGTGCTATAAAAGTACTTAGTAATTAAAGACTAAAAAATAAAACGCTGGAAGCCAAAGAAAAAAAGATCAATGCAAGTGCTCTAATTTGAGTACCCTATCCCTTAGAGCAGGAAGTATTCAGCTTTCCCACAGAGCCCAGCTTTTTGGCTCTCTGCTGCCTGGAAATTCGTGTTGCCTCCTCAACTAGATTAAAAGCTCGAGAACACAGAAAATGGTTTTTACTTCTTTATAAGCACAATGCTGGGCATTCAGACAACTATGGGAGACAGGCCTGACCACATAGAAAAGCCAGAATCATCATGAAACCAAGACACAGACACAGCGAACTTCTTCCTTTAAATTCCAGTACCTAACTAACTAATCTAGAATCCTGGGGAGTGCTGACTTGAGAGGCTGCTGCCTTCAGGCCTCTGTAGACTCTATCCTGTTTCTACTGCTTCAAAGGATATACTATTGTTTCATTCAGAGCATCAATACAGTATAGCCTAGCAACAAACATGGACTTTCTTCCTGTCCTTGAAAGAACTGCACGGGAATAACTGAAGAATCTCATGCTGCCCTAAGGTTTGGCCATCCCTGCAACAAGAATATAATGAACACTCATTACACTGAATTTGAGATGTGCCCCGCAGTCTTTTCAGAGTTCAAAGTGCTTAATCTCATTAGCTATCAGATGCCATGTCTAATCCGAGGTTCAGACTCGTGTCTGCTGTGTAACTGAGTTCAATGTGTACATTTAACAATAAACCAGGTATTGGCTCCACAGAGAAGTTAGATGTCTTTGAAGAATTCATTAACCAAGTTGGAGATAGGGAAAAGGGAACAAAACCTCATACATTTCCAATTACAGGCTAGAAAACAAACCAGATCCAAACCCAAGCAAACTTCTGGACATAACGGTGCCACAGTTCAGCAACTGCCCTAATATTCTGCAGAATCCTACACAAAGAGCATTAGATTCATCTGATCATTCATTCGATAAGCATGTATTTATTGCCCACCTACTACGTACTAGTTGTGCTGGCTGCTTTGTTGAGACAACTGATGCCTATGATAAACCTAGCCTCTATCCTCATGGAGGATCCAGATGACTCCAGTAAAAGACTATAGACCTACCGATTTCATTTGAAAATATAATTGGCATACTTTTTCCTGGAATCCCAAACTATCAGCAGTATTTATTTAATCACTCATTCTAGAAACAATTCCAATTCTATTTCATTCAGTTCCGCTCTTATATTACAGTCCTATCCTGTGCATTACATTACATTCGATCTAGTCCCATCCATTACTGTGACCTTGCAAGCCACAAATACATCAGATTGTTGAAGGCTGCTGAAAACGGAAGGAAAGGAAAACTTGTAATCACTGAATGCCTACTACGTGCCAGCCTTTGTGCTAAGTAAAAACTGACGCGATTCATTTAATCCTCCCAACGACTCTCAGAAGTAGGCATTATTATATTTCTTCCTACAGGCGAGGAGGCTGAGACTCAGAGAGAAGTGAACGAGAAGAGAATGGGTACGGGAGAAACTCAGCATCAAAACTGGAGCTACTGACCCAAGAGGTCTGTGCTCATCAAGGTTCCTGATCAAGCAGCCCACATGTTAGATAGAGGCTATGGGTCGAATAACACAGTCTCCATCCTACGACATCCTACATGTTTAGCTCTTTACTGGCTGTGTGGTCTCAGGTACAGTACCTAATGGCTTTGAGCCTAAGCTCCAATTTCATCCTCTGCACAAAGGCGAGAGAAGGCCTACCTGATAGAAAGAATTATATGAGGATTTTATATGCCTGGCACAAGCGAGGCCCTAAATAAAAAAAAAAAAAGTGATAATGATGATGTGGATCACTGCCTCGCTAAGATCAAAAGAAAGAGAATAATCATTTGGACTTGTACCTAAAACTCTTCCTACAGATAGCTGCAAACACCCACTAACAGCAGCAATCTTGAGACAGCCCAACGCCCCAGGATGACTCTGGCTTACAAACATTCAGATGATTTTTGCTTTGCAGGTAAGAATTTTTTTTTTAAGAGATGTTTTCTTTATAAATGCATTTGGTGCTCATTTGCTCAAACACGTCTTCAGAAGAAACAGTTAAAGCTTAAGCTTAGAAAACCAAGGGAGCGGGGCACGCAGGATGATCGGCATAGTGTTCTGATTCCCATAAGCAGATGCTGGTTTGCAGGTGTCCTGTGACCCTTAAGAAAGGTAGGTGTTATCCTACTGCAATTCACTGACTTGAGCATTTAGTTAATCAAGGAAGTGATCTGAGAGGCAAAGAACCCAAATCCAGTTTAAAAGATGTATTAGTTCTACAACATTTCAGTGTAATTATTATTTATTTAGACATCCCACAGGTGCCATGAGTATGTAATTCTATGTTCTGTTGAGGGCTCAAGAAATGAGTGGAGTTTAATGCAGCTCAAACTAGCTACACAATTTCCCATACAGAATGCTCATCCCCATTGTCCTTTATCTAGGCATCTTAAATTATTTCTTGGGCATAACTACACAGCATGCCCCCAGGAGAAAGGCAGGGAGCGCTCTGTGTATCCATTTACAAATGAGGCAGCTGAAGCCCACAAAAACAGGTCACTCGTCTAAACATCACACAATTGTTCAGAATCGAAGGGAATAATGGTAGTAGACTCCACATCTCCCAGCCTCAGCCCACTGAGCACTGAAGATGCTCAGATAATCTAAATCCACAGCCCCCAAGCACTCGAGGAACTAGCACCTGAGGTAACCATGCTGAGAGGATGGGGCTAACCACCTGCACCTCCATGACTGAAGGAGATTAGGCCTGGGGCAAGGCGAGGGGTGGGCAAGGAAGGAAAGCAAGGTATGAACCAACCCACACACATAAATGCTGTTTTAGGGTTACTGATGTGCCTGCAGCCCACCTCTTAAGACTTTCTAGACATCTAGGAAACCTTATTTAGACATTTTTGAAGGTGAGAAGATGGCAGCCATCTTCACCTTTCCTCAACATACACTCTGCACCTCCTACCCCCAGGGTTGATATGAGCATTTGTTTGCCCCGTTTTAATATTTATGCAACTACTGTACATTCACCTAAGTTTCTGGTTGTTCTATCGGCACTTTTGTAATGGATCCCAAATACTGGAGTTAAAGGTCGTTTTACCAGTCTTGAGCTGTATACACGTGAAATCCTGTGAACCTGAGTCACACTAAATTCCATGAGGAACAAAAGGAACACTTCACTCCATTATCAACAATCGCATCGATAGTAAGTTTGAGGGATTTTTTTTTTTTAACATCATACCTTTGATTGACATATACCTGCCCATTATTTTAAAACATGATTCTTTCTTTGGCCTCAATAAATGATGTCTCAAGTTTATAGATCACTTGTTAGATGCAATTTAGGAACCGGCTGCTGGCCTCCTCACTCTGTTTCCTATCTGACACTATTTCGTCGCCACTGACTCCTGACACATAAGACCCAGCTCAAAGCACGGGTAACAAGAGACCACACTCGCCTTTGTCCAAACATCAGCGTTGACTTCGTCTCAGCTTCGTTGAAGACAGAAGGAGAACAGCAAATGACAATGGTAGTTCTACAGTTCCCACCCAGAGAGTCCTGAAGAATCCGAGTCATCTTGCTGTCCCGGTACGGCACATGAGTTTTCTATTTAGGAAAAAGAAAAAGTACTGGCTGTTACAACCCAATCAAAGAAAAAAACACAGAGGCAAACAAGTGAGTGTTGGGGATACTGGGCTTAGAAAGACAAATGAAACAATAATTTGTTGCCTGGTCTTTGGATCTTGCCAAAGTTTAGACTGTCCATTCTGGGACCCAGCTCACAGGAAATTAGCATCACCATTCACACATTTTAATGAACTAGATCTCCCAGCAAGCAGTGCATCCACAGCCAGGATGCCCTTGGTCCCACTCCAAACGAACACAAACTAGTCTTTGGGGTATGTGGCAAAAAGAGTGCATGGACCCAAAAAGGCAACTTCTTATAATATCATTTAATCGATGGGGACAGGATCACTTACTGTCCCTTCTGCCAAGGCAGAGATCACATTTCCAAGAGCAGACAAAGATTTATTGATATTTTTAGCTTCGTCGAGAACAGCTCCCTCGGCACCAGTTTTGCTGACCTATGAGAGAGAAGAGAAAGCAGTGAGCTGCACAGGACGGCAAAAGCACAGAGTAGATAATTCCAATTCACAGGATGGCAAAGGGGTGGGGGGGATGAGGGGTGGGTGTGAATCCTCCTGGAATGCAAGGAAAAATAAAAGTAAGTAAGAATCACATTGATAAAATCTCCCCTTGTGCCTGAGGCTGGGGATTTGTTCTCTCTTGTCATTTTCCTCTCAATTAGGTTTTAGGGGAATGGCTGAAATGCCTCAAGTGGTGAAGCTGCAGACGCTTCCCTGGGGGACATCCATTCTGGAAAAGCAGGCTCTAAAAGCGCTGTCACTGCAGAAAGGCCAGGGCCAGGGGACACTGAATCACAGTTTCCACTCCAGAGGGAACCCAGGGCTTTAAGAGAAAATACTGTCCTGGCCACAGTGGAGAGACATGTTGGGAAAGTGTAAACTGCAAGCTCCAACTTCAGACAAACAACAAGAGGTGGCGGGGATGGTTGCTCAGATTCTGTTTCTTCCCCACGTCCCCGCAGTGAGGAAAAAGGGAACAATTATCTGAAACGAAAACTATTTTTTTTTAAGTCATTAGCACATAACTTTAATTAAAATTAATAGTTTAGATGAAGAACTAGACTAGCGTTTAAAATCAACTTCTGAAAAATCACATTTACATAAAGATAATAAAACAGACAAGCAGAAGTCCAAAAAAGGTGTAGTTTGTATGACTGTACTTGGATGAAATATACTGTTCAGGGTAGCATAATACTTAGGCCATACAAAGCCAGGAAGAGGAGACAAACAGAGAGGACAAACCCCCAGGTAGTATTTATTCCAGATTCCAAACTTTCCAATGGCCTCAAAAATGTTTAGCATTTCAAGAACATTCAACTAGAGCTCTTTACAAAAATGGCTACTGTGTCTTCAACATTTTTTGGTTTAGGCATGAAAAGTCAAGAAAATGTATATTACACTGTGAATTTGTTTTTTTCCTCTGCAGCCAGAGGGAGTGTGTACAGTTTCTCCTCTGCTGTTTTATTACTGGTAATTTTATATTTACAGTATTTGCTGTAGGGGGAGAGCAATTTACAGATGTTAGAAAAAGGGGAACTCAACATGATTCATAGCTCTGCTGACTGGACGACCGACACAGGGTAAGCAGCTGCTCTCTAAAGAAAGAAAAACGAGGAAATAACTTGCACAAAGACAGGTTTCAATTATGTATAAGGGAGAAATTCCTAACAATAGAGAGGAATGCATGTCCAGGGAAAGATTCTTTTCAAATAGGATAGATTCTCATCTCTCTGGGAATTGTGTGTATGGGCGCCTCTGCTTACAGATAGAGAAATAATACAGCTGCTAGGCCACAAATAATAATGTCTATTCACATGGCATTGTTGCTTTCATATTCGAGCGTCTTAACTCCATGAAATAATGCACGACAGGTACAATCACCTCCCTTTTACAGACAAAGAAAATTGAAGCTCCAAGAGATCAAATTGCCAGCCCCTGGGAAAAACACCATTTAAGGGAGTCGAGGACTAAAGCCCAGAGTTCTGTCCTACTAGATCACACTGACATATTCATGTAGATATATCCAGGGCAAAGGAAAACAGATGTGAGCGAAAGGAACAATGTGCAGAACCATAACTTAAAAATGCCTCGTAAATACCGTTAGCAAGAACCACTAACCCTGTGCAGAGGACAGGCCTCCTCTCTGAACTGCCAGCAGTTAGCATTTCTTCGACCGCATTTATGTCCTAAATATTCCTCCTGTGCTCTAAAAGGAAAGAGGGCAAACTTGGGAAGAGTGAAGGGGCCAATGGGCTCCTCGTCTGGACCCTTACAGTTGGAGCGGCAGCAAAGTGGGTCTAGAACTAAGCAATGCTGCTTTGTACTCTCATTCTGGTGGATGTCTGTTTATTAAAGTCACAAGCCCATACCAGTTAAACCAAGAATATCCAGCTGATTTTCTGCTCATGGCTTTACGAAGGTGTATAGGAGAACAATTTAAGTAGCTGTTACTTACATGGATGTTAGTGGCCATAACGGCGTCCAGCAACTCAGCAGTGGGTGCGGTTAAGTGGGAATCAATTACAGTTTGGGATACTGACCAAGCTTCAGGGCTAATAGCCCTGATGGGGACACTGAGCACAATGTCAGTGATGATGGATGCCATATGCGATTGTGCACATGGACTTGCTCTGTGATGTCGACCGGAGGGGGACAAGGCCCCCAAGCCAGGGTGTGGCAGCAGGAGCTCCAGTGATGCCATGGAAGTGAGGCTGGAAGGGGCGGGTAGGAGGTTTGGGAAGCCTATTTGGTCTGAAGTGTGTCCTCAGCCGGTGCCTGGGAGAGCATGGGACAGGATACAGATGCCTAACAAGAGCCCTGACTTAAACCAGAGGAGGGCTGGGGCTGGGGCTAAAACACTAGCTACAGGCCTCACAGCCTAAAGGAAGTGAGGCCAGGCCACCCACGAGAGACAAGGTCTCCGTGCCCGGTGCAGAGAGGAGCAGGGAATGTGGGGAGAGCCTCACGTTCCAGATTTCCTATCAGCAAACACACGTGCAGAGGCAGGACGGCTGCATTCCAACACAAAGCCTTTTCCTGGCCTATTGGTGCCTAGTACAACACGGAGATCTTTCCTTTTCTCAGGAGTACACGTCCCTCCTGCATTTGCAAGGCTGACTTTGCCAGGCTAAGTCCACACCGACATTTCCCTAATGTCATCATCAGAGCCTATAAAGCATAAATCAGAGTTGGCATTCAAAGCACCTCCTGTGACATGAATAGGGGACTTCAGGACCAGAAAAGAGCGAGCAGGGAAACGAAGGTTAAATTTAATAACATCTCGACGCAACATCAGAAATTTTAAAAGCTCTTTAAAACCAGGAAATAGAAAGGCATAAAAATTATACCATTGCACAGTGAAGCAAATAACAGGGGAAAATTATAGCTAATACAAATAAAGAACCAATTACCTTTTCGCTCCCAGCCAAATCAACTAGATAAAGCTTCCCACTGAGTTTTTTTTCAGTCTCTACATTCTCTTGTTTAATATTAATCAGGAAGATACTGTGACTTCTAGAGCTGTGTTCATTCATGTCTGAAAAGAAAAATAGTTTACTGCTCTACAAAGAACACATAAATTTAGGTAGCAAGCCTCTCTCATCTAAAAAGCACAACAAATTATGCCTAATAGCTCCGTTTTTTAAAGAAACTCCAGACAATTTCAAAAATTATCAGAGACCACTTCTTAAAAACAATGCTCATTCTAAAAAAGAAAGATTTAAAATATCTTTAAGTGGCAAAGAGATTAATCTAAAATCTTAGTCGATGGTTTAAGATATCAGATTCTCTAGCTCTGCCCGAAGCCCCATCCTCCAAAATCCCCAGCCAGCTCGACTTTCTCCTTGAAGAGTTCATAGCTCCCTCCACTGCCTCATTTTAATTCCCTCAGGTATTATCATCATGGTTAGTACCTGATGTGTTCTATCTTCTTCACATGTGTCAGTCTTGCCTTATCAGTAATATCATAAACTTTAAGGAAGTATTATAAATTAAGACACCCTTCTATAATCCATGCAAAGTACACAGAAGGTCTCCAAGATTAAATATGCTCCATTAGGACCAAGCACTGGAAATAAAAATCTTTTTGACCCCCTTTCTTTGTTCTCCAAGTAGGCAGAGACCCCAGTGATGATCTTATTCAACCCCTACCAGCAATCATGTCTTAAAACCATCTTACCAGATTATATGGAAAAAACCCTAAAGATTCCACCAAAAAAATATTAGAACTAATAAATAAATTCAGCAAAATTGCAAGATACAAAAGCAACACATAAAAAGTTGCATTTTTATGTACTAATAATGAACAATGCAAAAAAAATTAGGAAAACAAAGTAGAAATAAAATAATAAGATACTTAGGAGTAAACTTAACAAAGGAAGCAAGAATTAAGTACAGAAAACCACAGAATGTTGGTAAAAGAAACTAAAGAAGACACAAATAAATGGGAAGACACTGCCTGTTCATGGAATGGAAGACTTAACTATTGTTAAGATGACAATACTACCAAAAGTGATCAACGGATTCAATGTAATCTCTATCAAAATCTAAGTGATGTTTTTGTAGATATAGAAAAGTCCATCCTAAAATTCATATGGAATCTCAAGGGACCCAGAATAGCCAAAATAATCTTTAAAAAGAACAAAATTGGAGGTCTCATATTTATTTGTTTCAAAACTTAACTAAATTACGTATATATATCACATCTTCTTTAGCCATCCATCTATCAGTAGACACCTAGGTTGCTTCCACATCTTGGCTATTGTAAATAATGCTGCACAGAGGGTTTCATGTATCTTTTCAAATTAGTGTTTTCGTTTTCTTTGAGTATATACTGAGAAGTGTGATTGCTGGGTCATATGGTATATCCATTTTTAGTTTTTTGAGGACCCTCTATATTATTTTCCATACCCACAGTGCAACTACACTTTCTCCACATCCTCGCAAACACGTATTGTTTGTTGACTTTTTGGTAACAGCCATTCTGACTGACATGAGAGGTATCTCGTCGTGGTTTTGATTTGCGTTTCCATGATGATTAGTGATACTGAACATCTTTTCATGTGTCTATTGGCCATCTGTATGTCTTCTTTGGAGAAAAGTCTTTTCATGTCCTCTGCCCATTTTTCAGTCAGACCGATTATTTATTTGTTCTTGAGTTGTATGGTTTCTTATATATTTTGGATATCAACCCCTTATCAAATATCTCATTTGCAAATATATTTTCCCATTCAGTGGGTTGCCTATTTGTTTTGTTGAAAATGTGGCACATGCACACACACACACACAATAGAATATTATGCAGCAATAAAAAAGAATGAAATCTTGCCATTTGCAACAACATGGATGGACCCAGAGGGTACTTTGCTAAGTGAAATAAGTCAGGAAAAGAAAGACAAATACTGTATGGTTTCACTTATATGTGGAATCTAAAAACAAAACAAAACAAAACAAAAATGGACTCATAGAAACAAAGACCAAAGGGATGGTTAGTAGAAGGCAGCGGGTGGAGGTATAGGTGAAAGGAGAAGGGGAATATAGTTAATAATATTGTGATAAGTTTGCACCGTGACAGATGATTATTAGAATTAATGAGGTGATCACACTGTAAGGTATAAAAATGTCAAATCACTATATTGTACACCTGAAACTAATATAACCAACATAAGATTGTACACCAACTATACTTACACATACTTTAAACCCTCATATAATAGAGTCAAATAATTTTCGACAAGAGTGTCAAGACTATTCAATGGGAAAGGCCAGTCTCTTCACCACATGGTGTTGAGAAAACTAGCTATCTACATGGAAAGAAAAAAAAGTTGAACTTTTACCTTAGGCCATATATAAAAAATAACTACAAAAGGATCAAAGACCTAAATGTAAAAGCTAAAACTATAAAACCTTAGAAGAAAACACAGGAGAAAAGCTTCATGATACTGGATTTGGCAATGATTTCTTAGATATGACATCAACAACACAAGCAACAAAAGAAAAAAATAGATAAATTGGACCCCATCAAAATTAAAAACTTTTGTGCATAAAAGGACACTATCAAAAGAGTGAAAAGGCAACCCTCAGAATAAGAGAAAATATTTACAGATAATATATCTGATAAGGCAGTGGTCCCTAACTCCCGAGCTACAGACCAGTACCAGTCTGTGGCCTGTTAGGAACCCGGCCGCACAGTAGGAGGTGAGGGGAGGGCCAGTGAGCAAAGCTTCATCTGTATTTGCAGCCGTTCCCCAGTGCTAGCATCACTGCCTCAGCTCCACCTCAGATCATCAGGCATCATATTCTCACAGGAGCACAGGTCCCTGGTGCCAAAAAGCTTGGGGACCACTGAGATAAGGGATTGATATCCACAATATATAAAGATCTAAAAATCAACAACGACAACAAAACAAACAACTCAAATTAAAAAAGGAGCAAAGGACTTGAGTAGACATTTCTCCAAACATGTATAAATGACTTATAACCACATAAATAGATGCTCAACATCACTAATCATTAGGTACATGAACCACATTGAGATATCATCACTTCACACCCATTAGGATGGCTATTAAAAAAACAAAAAAACAAACAAACAAAAAACCCCAGAAAATAACAAGTGTTGACAAGGATATGGAAAAATTGAAATTCTTGTGCACTATTGGTGGGAATATAAAATAGTGCTGCTATGGAAAATAACATGGTAGTTTCTTAAAAAAATTAAAAGTATAACTACCTTATGACACAGCAATTCTAGTATTACACCCAAAAGAACTGAAAGCAGAAACTTGAATGGGTATTTATATATCCAGGTTCATAGTAGAACTATTTATAATACTCAAAAGGTGGAAGCAACACAAATGTCTTATCTATGGATGAATGGATAAATAAAATGTGTTATATACGTACAATGCAATATTATTCCGCTTTTTAAAAGTAAAATATCCTGACACATGCTACAACATGGGCAAAGCTTGAGGACACTGTGCTAAATGAAATAAGCAAGTGATAAAAGGATTTGTATCATTCTTATATGAGTAGAAATTAGAGTTGTCAAAATCACTGAGACATAAAGTAGAACAGTGGGTACTAGGGGCTGGACAGAGGAGTATGGGGGATTATTATTCAATGGGTATAGAGTTTCACTCTGTGATATTAAAAAATTCTGGAAATGGAGAGTAGTGATGGTTGTACAATACTGTGAATATACTTAGTGCCACTAAATTGTACACTGAAAATTGTTTAAATGGTGAATTTTATGTTATCCATATTTTACCACAATAATTTAGAAAACTATATTTCCATTTTCCTACCAGAAAAATAGCAATGTTCTAGACCAACAGTTCTGAACCAAGGGGCCAAGATGAACTGTCAATTATACCATGAATAATTCATGACTAGCTTAAGAAACCAAGCAAATAACTTCTTTATGAATGACATGTTATTGTTATAAGAATATGAGTCTTTCCTTCCTTCACGTATGAGTGTGTGTTGTAAGCAAGAGAGAAAGTGAGGTTTAACCTATACTGTTTGCAGGTCTAGGCTTACCTATGAAATTTGACACATATGTGAATATCATATGATGTCTGTCAGGGTAGAGAAAAAGTTGAGAATTACAGTGCTAAATCACAGAATCATAGAACCTTGGGTGGAAGAGACTTACAGAGACTAGTCAACCAATCAATACTTGAATCTCTTCTACAACATACAGAGAACTCACTACTTCTCTGGATAGCAGGTGTTAACTGGGGCAGCTATAAAGATGAGAAAGTTCTTGAGGCAGGTCAAGATCTGCCTCCCTGCAGCTTCCACAATTCTGGGTGGTCTAGCCATTTGATCAAATCAAGAGAGCTGACTATCTTAACGTCAGCACTTCGAAAATGTTAAGAAATACTGCACTGTCCACACATCCTCACCAGATTTTTTTTCTCTTCCAAGCTAGAAATCCTTCCAAGCTAGAAATCATAAGTTCATTCAGCTTCTCTTTATATGAACACACTCTCATTTTTCTATATCCCTCTGAATAAGACATCTTTTCATTGAACTCTGCTGTTCTAATACCATATGACCTGCTTCCCTGAGATGTGCACCATGCTAAGGAAGAAACCACAAGGTAAACAAGCTGGCCTGAATGTGTTTGTTATAGACACAGCATCAAAAAGTTTTCAATAAAGCTCTGCTTCTTTTCCTTTTATACAGAGGGCAGAAATCTAGTACGGTTTTCTTTCCATGTGTGTGACTGGCATATAGAATTCCTTGGTTTGGATTTAAAAAAGAAACTGAACAATAACATAGTTAAAATTAATAAACTTAGAAGCTTAGTTTCCCCTCTTTGGCTTGTTGGTTGGTTATTTGCCCATGTTCGGTCTTAGGCTCTTACCAGGGTCCACGGAGTCTCACCCAGGATCTCTAAGAGTTCCCTGGAAAGCAGGAGGCGCTGCTCCCCACGACCTCCTAGACACACTCACTGCACATCCCTTGTGTGTTTGCTCCGGACACTGCTTTCCAACCGCTTCCTGTGCATTGTTTTACTTAGACCTCATAACCCACCCCTCCTGGTGGGTAGGCAGACACTTGCATCCTAAATTAGAGGGGAGGAAACACCACACCATGCTTACTTGTTACAGCCACGTGTCGGTTTGCTTTGCCTTCATCTATCACATCCATGACTTCCTCGGGGCTGGACACAAACCGCTCAGTGCACCCCTGCAGCAGAGTCAGTTCGGGTTCACCATTAAAAAATTGAAAAGCAATAATATTTTCAAACAGCTAAACATATTCCCACTTTTCTTCTGGATGTGCAAATCAAGAGAAAGGCTGCAATGTGGATCTGACAACTTTTTCTCCTTGCCTTAGGCTCGAATTATACATTAAAAAGAAATCTGAGCAGCCCCTAGGAAACTCAGAAAAAAAAAAAAAACAGAAAAGAAATGCCGACTTCCTTGGGTTTTTTAGCACAGATTCAAACTCAGCAGCAGTGCAGACAGAAATAAAGAAGAAAATCAATGGCAGAAAAAGAAATGGATGAAGTTGTGTTTGGCCTTCCATCTTTATTTATTACCATCTAGACACTGATTTTAATTAGATGCTTTGAAGTGCTAGACATAATGCTATAATAGGCTTCGCCTAACAGCAAAGCATAAACGATTGTACTCAATACCAAAGCCTATTTAAATGTGAATAGTAAATGTTTGTTCACTTCTACAATTCTTCCCTCATGTGATTAGACATCTGTGATACATTCACAAAGAGAGATGACTGAAGAAATTGTCAGTTTTTTTAATCAGATGTATTGTAAACATAAGGAATATGATTAAATATCTATATGCACTTCATATAGATAATACTCTGGGCATCTTATGTAATAATTATTATGAGAATGACTGAAGAGAAATCAATTGCATCGTCAACCAAGTTTTCCTCATACCTTTACATACGGGACTCTGTTTTTATCTTCATGAACAGCCAAGTTTGTCTTGGATACTATAGAGATAATGAAGACATACAAAGAAGAAAAGAAAAGTTAAAGACCCTGTATTGGAGGAAAAAATAGAAACTGTTACAGAAGATAAGCAATTCTAATCTCTCATGGAAATTTAAGCCTTGGCTGAGAATAAGCAGACAGCCTGAAGGCAAGAGAACATCTCTATAAATCTTTATTAATTCTTTAAGCAGAAGCGCTTTAAATTATTTCATCCTCTCTAGACTTTAGTTACAGAACAAATAAAGAACAAGCATTCAGGTTACTACTCACCATCGAGTAAGTCCCTGATTTTGTCCAAGTAGATCTCAAAATAGGAAACCTGTTAAAAGCAAATTGAGTTTGAAACAGAAATGTCACCCTATGTTACAAAAACATCATTTTTAGAACTTATAAAAGTGTTTTGTCACACATTAGCTAAGAAGTATAAGGAATCCAAAGCAAAGATTCAGAGTCCCAGAGTGCAGAGCTCCAGCTCACCCTCCTATGTCCTCCTGCCTCCTGCCTCGTCAACTTGCTCAATGAGTCCCTGCTCAGCTCGGGCTACTCCCTGTCCTCACACGTCACAGCTCCCTATGGTTTGATTCAGATGTTATTTAGATCATGTGCTAGACAGCCACTTACAGGTGGACTCTAGCTTTTACCTTAGATGAACACCAAGCAAACTTCCAGGTATGACATCAGCTGGAATTAAACAAACGTCCTTTACAAGTAATTGTCAAAAATCAGCAGGCCTCACCTTATGAATGATATTGACAGCCTTAACAGACCAGAGCTAGAGCATGGTCCAAACATTTACATGAAGGAAGAAGTGGGGAGAGGCAAGGTAAAGGCACTTTGCTGGGAACTATGAGAGCTCAGCAAGGTAACTGGGAGAGAAATCATGATGGTGGCAGGTTTAGAGTCCAGGAAGGATTTGAACAAAATGTGATTTAATGAAAGGCAATTAAACTGTGAGAGGGAAAGGAAGCCTTCCAATTAATCATTCTCAAACCTCAGTCCCAGCACTGCCTACGTCAGCATCTCCCATAGCGTTTGTTTAAATCGCAGAGCCCTGAACCTGAGAACAGTCCTCCTGAAACAGAATCTCCAAAATAGGACCTAAAACTCAGCTTCTAGACTCCCCAGGTGATTCACATGAAAGCTAACCTCTGAGAACAACTTTAACGAAATATGAGCTTGAAAATTTAATTCACATGTAACCAATATCCTAGGCCTCAATTTTCCTTCTGTCAAATGAAGCCATTAGACTTGATGACGTAAAAAATTCCCTCTAGGATTCTGCGTTCTGTCTACAGCTGCCTTTTGCCTCCCAGATAAAATTTTCTCTCCTTCATGGGTGTTTTGGAAATCTAAACAAAAGAATGGACAAAAAAGTTGTTTTAAAAAGGTTGAAAAAAGTAGTTGTAAAGTTGAGGTGTGACTACAGGTGAAACTTCATCTCCACATCCCAGCTCTGGACCAGTCCTGCCTCTAGTTGGGGCAGCAAGTGTAGACTCCGAAACCTGGCATCGGTCCTAATCTATTTCCGCCTCAGCTCATTATCTTTTGTCTGCATCTCAGCATGGAAACTCCTGACTTCCTAGTTTTCCTGAGACCTGGGGTCCTGGCTTCTAACCCTAGAATCTATAGCTGGACATCCTCTTCATGTTGCCTGTCTCCTTGCCTGTTTGATTGTCCCTCAAACTCCCCAGTCACTAAGCCTCATCTGTGTAGACACACCTACCTGTCCTTCAAAAGATGTACTGCTGCTGCTCCCGGAATCCTATGGGTCTGTTTGGTCTCAATCTCAGACACCTCTCTCTAACACAGCCCTTCCTGCAGCCTGCTCAACCTTGGTTCCAACCCATTCTACGTATTCCAGAATTGTCTGGCTTTCATTAAGACATTTCCATTATCTTTGAGATCTTAAACACGTGCACTCATTTACACAGATTACAGGGAAAATTAATTACAACTAAAGAGCATTCATGAACTAGATATTAGCAAATGTGGCAATTAGAATTCTGTCCACATTTAATATAAGTAGAAAGAGAATTCTGATTCGCTAATTTCTTTTTACCACAGCAATTACTGGCTGTTTTTTGGGGGGGAATGGGGGGTTGATTTTGCTATTTTTGTCACTTCAAGTACTCTGTGAGACCAGGTAAAAGAAAAATAAATAGGCACTGTTTGGCATGTAGCAATAGCAAGTTCAGAAATAACGTTTAAAACCTCCGTGGGACCCGCTTTAAGGAACAGATTTTCAATATTGCCTTAATCGAGCCTCTTTTTCTTAATTAGGCCTGTCGCTCCTCAGTTCAAAATACGAAGTAGTCAATAATAGCTAACTTGCCCACTTATGACCATTATTTATGAAACAGTAGACATAACTACAAATGCAGATCGGAAACAGGAACAGTAAAATTCAGCCCTAGAAACCAAGGTGTTGTTCCTCCTCTCCTCTCCCTTCAGGCTGAGGCTTTTCTTATCTTCATAAGATTCTAATGCAAGACTATTTTGAGGGCAGTAATTGGTTTAACGTCTTACTCCAGGATTATCCCATAAGAACCCTACAGTAGTTTGAGGTATTTACATACAAACAGCCTTAAAGATGCACTAAGCTCCTAAATCTTGATCCCATCAAAGCAACAAGCTTCTGTACCCTTAGATATAAAGAACCCTGGCAAGAAGCCACTTTAGTCAGAAAAGGGAATTGTAAGGAAAAAGATTTGCCAGATGTAATTTATCACTGGCAAACAGTTATTGCCTTGTTTTTATGTACTTCAGGAAAGGTATTTAGCAGAAATAAGTAAAAAGGCACTGTATGTGGAGCTGGTCAGATTGGGCGTTTAATCTCAACTCTGCCAATGATTTGCTATGTACCTTTGGCTATCTGGATCTATGCCTTTGAAATTCCAGTTCCGCAGCTCTAAAATGGTGAGCCTAGTGCACTAAGGTCCCAGTCTTCAAGGCTGACCAGCCTCTTGGCTGACCTGCTCAGCTCCACATCTTCTTAGAACTATCCCTTCCTCCGCCCCACCTGCTGTTGTTAACCCCGTCCCCAGTCAGCCACTGCATGCCTGACACTGCTCATCAGAGCTGGGGCCTCACCTACTGCAGCCTGGGCGGGTGATCCACTTCCCTGGGAATTAGGAATTGGAAATAAGGGAATGTGGAGCAGGAGCTGCCATGATGCCTCCTTCTCCAACCAAGAAAAAGAAGAAAGTAAGCAAGATGGCAGAGAACAGAATTGGGGGATGATGAAAATGTTCTGTAATTAGTGATCGTCGAGACTCAAAACCATCGAGTTGTACACTTTAAAGGGGTAAATTTTATGGTTTGCGAATTACATCTCAATTTTTTTTAAGTTAAAAAGAAAAACAAAGGAAAAGTAGGACCTAGATTTCTTGCTTCTCCACAACCCCTCCCCCAATACACCTGCTATCAGATTCTGTATTTTATAATAACTTTCTCTACTTGCTTAAACAAGTGGCTTTCAGTCACTTACAAGAAGTTTTAAAGAATATATCCCTATTACCAACGTTATGAATTTAAGCCAGAACGCAGGCTCTGGTTTTAAGAAAGAGAAAAAAAAGATGGAGAAAGAGAATTCACTTCCCTAACACTTCTCAACAAAACACTAGTCTGTCACACTCCAAGGCGAAGGGTGGGTGTGTGCGGGATATGTCCACAGTCAAGTTGGGAAAGGTAATATATTCCATGTCTTCTTTGCAGAATCACATTACACGATAACATATTTAAGCTTGTGATAAATTTAACATTGTTCAACAGCATTTTTCCAGCTTATTAGGCAACATAAGCATTTTCCTTGGTAACCCACTTATTAATAATGTAAAGAATGTGTTCCATGAAACACATTTTGGAGAAACCCGAACATGGACACATTCCAGTCATAGCTACAGAAATCTCCAGGGTAAAGGGTAGAAGTCAGGCAACTATCAAGATGATTCCAATATAAAGAAGATTTTTATCTGATCTTGCTATCTCAAGCAAACCATCCAGATAGCTAAGTATTCCTTAGCCATTAAATAAAAAATACGGATCTACCTACCACAGGAATGTCATTTAATAAGATCGTCTTTTCCATGTCTAAAATAAAAAGAGAGCTAAAAAACAACTTTAGGCTAGTTCTTCTCTTGGATCTCAATCGATGGCACTTACCTTGATATGAAACTCCAGGTTTTCATCCATGGAATAAATATGGTCAAAGATGTCGTGCGCGATCCTTGGGATGATCCCCATGAGTTGAGGGTCATGCAGCTTCCCCTAATGGGTGAAAAACACAACACAGGTGCTAATGAGTGCTGGGAAACATGAGAGAATGGGGACCATACAGAACTCCATGCGGCATCCACACATGGGCTGTCTGCTCCTTGGAGCTCTACTGGACAGGCCGACATACCAGAAGTTAGCAGAATAACTCAACGTGTTAGTCTTTTTACCCAGCCAAGACGAGGTTGTTCTGTCAGATCTGAAGTCCCACAATATTCTTTCCTGCTGCCACTCAGGGCAACAAATCAATGTGTATGGGAGTGACTGTGTCAGTAGGAAGGTGGGGAGGAAGGAGAAGGACGGAGAATATATGACTATATAGCATATATGACTATAACATACTAAGTGTAAGTTTCATTTTTGAATTTTCACAAACTGACCAGAACCTAAGAATCCAAGATAATCTACTTTAATAAAATCAACTCAGGAGCTAATACATATGTGGATGAAAAAAGGGATTTTATGGAAAGTAACTTCACAGGGTGACCCAATCATAAATTCCTGACTGGGCAGGTCATGGTGCGTAGTCACTGCCCCAGGAAAGTAACTTTTTAGTAAAAGGTTTATCTTTGCCTTAAGCAGTCTCTGTCCTTTGTTTCTGTGCATCTAGGTTAACACACCTTTGAAATAAGCCATAACCACCCTCAAGAGAGCACATAACCTTGTTAACTATCCTGTAATCCAATCTCTGCTTTCTTTCACCCCACCTCCATGTAATGTTCCTTACTTTCCCTCCTTAATTTCAAATGCAGTAAAAAAAAAAAAAAACTGCAAAATTGTTATTCTCCAGAGCATTTGAGATCTTGCTCTCCGGCATATGTCATCATCAGTTTGGCTGAAAGAAACTCATAAAAATTCTCTATGGGATTGAACATTTCTTAACATTGACACATATATAGTTTCATTAATGTCATCATTTCTAAAAAAATTCCTAAGAATCTTATTCTAAAAATACTTTCAGTATCATTTTATAAACCAATCAAGAACATCTCTTATCAATTTCATTTTAAAATCTGTAATTCCCAGCCCTAATTGTTCCAAATATTTGGCTACTTCTAATACCTAAATCCACATGTATGATATTCTTATTATTTTCTATCCTTTTTTTCTATTTCTATTACTGAGAGGTAGAGGGATAGATTAATTTTTCTGCTATTTGGACTATCACTAAATCCATTTTTAAGATCTAGATTTTGCCACTTCTGAAGACTTTCAGAAAGAGATGCCACAGGATCTGAAAGCAATTCCTAAAGAAGTCCAGAGGTGTTTAGCGATGGCCTTAGCACGGGCCCGGGGTGGATAGCTCCTAGAGAGCTGTGTATGCCAACACTCAAATGAACACTAAAGTTTCGTTCGGTCTGCAGATCCAAAGTGATCATTGGCAACTATATTCCCAGAGAATTTTTCAGACCTTTAGAAAAATATAAAACCTTAGGAACAAGCAGAACTGGAAGAAAAGCACAAAGCCCAGTTTGCTCTTTAGTTTTCCAGGGATGTCCAATGACCTTTGCAGTTTTGACTCATATCCTTGTTCCAAATCTGCCCAATACCTGGAATATCGGCTTTGTTTTTCCCAATCAAATCCTCTTTTTCCTTCAGGGGTTCGCCACACAGTGCCTCCCTGACAGGCTGACTTTCAAGCCAACATCTAAGCTGGCAAAAGCAAAACGTCATGTGAACTCAGCACCAACTACAGGCCAGAGAACACTTGACTAATCCTCCTTCACGCACCTGGTTCCTGACCTTCCACTCTATGAAAAGCAAGAGAAAAGCTGAATTCAGATACGTCTGGCCTCTAGCAAAGCTCTCCTTCCTGGGAAATTGGGTTACTCTCTAGAATGCCCCCCATCTGCTTAAGAATCCTAAGTCATTTGATGTGTTTATACTGTTTTTAAGTTTGACTGTACACACTCTAAAGGCAGGGATGACCAGTGCATACACACTTCCCCCCACTGCTTATCATAATTAGTATAGTACCTGTTGCACAGAATTATTGTAGAACTTAAGTGAAACAATATTTATGTGCTTAGTGATAATAAGTGTTATCATTATATTATTCAGCTCATAGTAAGTTCTCATTAAGCAGTTGTTGGGGTTTACATGATCTGAACAAGCTAAAAACATTTCTATCACAGACTATTAGTACATACCTTATGAAACAGCACCAAATGACTGAGACTAAAAGGCTCAGATGTTGGTAACTTTACTTCACATAGACCATTGTAAACATGTAACAAACCAAATATTGGACCCCACATACTCTGTGGACTGTGGAAACTGCTGGCAGAAATGATATTTACAGTGAAAACACAGTTCTGTGTCAGGTCAAATGTCGTGACACCACTGCGTCGATCTGACTCAGAGAGTCTGAAAAGTGTCCCCCACCCACTCCCTCCAGAGCTCTTTAATAATTCATCATAATCCTTTAGCTTTTCTTCAGTAGTCCACAGCCAAACAAGAATGATTGATAATCCAAAAATCTTTTATAATTTATTTAAATCTGTTTCCCTAGCTGCTTTTCCATTCAACAGATATATCCCCAATTGATTCCTGGCTGAAAACGTATTGACATTACTTTGTTTGTCTTTGTTAGAGTAAGAACCAAGGCAGAACCAGGAATGAGCCTAGGACACTCCCCATTTTTTTCTTTTTCTTTTTAAATTAAATGTATTGGGGTGATACTGGTTAATAAAATTATATGGGCTTCAAAAGTACAATTCAATAATACATGGTCTGTATATTGTATTGTGTGTTACCCACCCAAAGACACTCCCCATTTTGCTTTCCTAAAGTCTCCACTCGAACATCACATGAAAGGGAAGCACATGTTCGTTTGGAGAAGGTGGAATGATACCCCTGGCCTCATAGTGACAGAAGTGATCCCTAACCTACCACAGGTTTAGGGGCAGGGTCTAGCTCATAAGCCCAAGAGTGGTAAGGACCTTTATGTTCAGCAAACTGAGTCTGCCCAAACAATCTGTGCACACTTGTGTATGGATGTGTGTGTGAATGGTATGTGGATGTGTATGGTGTGGGTATGTAGTCTGCATGGATATGTGGTGTGTATATGGTGTGGTGTGTATATATAGTGTGCATGTGTGGCATATGTAGTGTATGGTATGGTATATGTGTATGTAGTGTGGAGTGTGATTGGTGCGTGTGTGCTGATGTGTTGTGTGTGTGTGTGTGTGTGTGTGTGTGTGGTGTGTGTGTATGAGAAAGATCTTCACTGCTTCTACGTTGATTGCCTTGCATATGAAATACACATGCACATACACAACATATATTCACCTCAGGCAATAAAACATGGTAAAGGAGCAGAGCCTATTCAGAGAACAGAATAGCTCCCTCCATCTGGGGTGAGTGATATGGGATGGCTTCTTATGAAAAACCAAATCCTGAGGGATGAATAAGATTAAGGATGAGCAAAGAGGATGTAGGCAGAGAAGAGATGGGAGTTTACACAACAAAGGTACAGGAACTGAGAAAGAACAATGCCCCTTTAGAGACCAGTGACACGTTTAGTTGGTTGGAGAACTAAGGATGGACTTGAGTAGAAAAGGAATGTACCACTTCATCATCTTGTCTCCCCCAGAAATCAAAAAAGGAAAATATGTTTTATACTTGCATCCTATGTAATACTCTTCAAAAACTTTCCCCACTTCTGATCATGACCTTCTTGGAGCAAGTGTGAAAGAAGAAATCAGACCCAGACCATCGGTCATGGAACAAGACTCCCTCTGTTCCAGCCCCAATTGCCTCCTCGGTGTCCCAAAAAGGACAGAGGTTTCTGAAACACTTAAAAAGGGAAAGCAGGCAGCCTAGCAGCTCAGAGGAGCACCAATGCATCCAGACAGACTCACTGAAAATCACCTGACAGGCTCCGCTCAGCAGCAGGGCTGCCTGCACCACCATTCAATGGCTTCCAGGTCTCCCTTTGGGCTGAAGGAAAAAACAGGGTGTCTCCATCCTTTTATTATTTATTTATTTACTTTTATTGCAACAGTTTGATTTATCATAGGTGCAGACAAATAGTTATGATTATATTTTGCCTCTATATAATCATACTTCTAAGTAGTACAATTCCAACCTTTTCTATCACTGTGCTGAAGAGGGCTACAAAGTGGGGCACGGGGCCAAGAGAAGCCCTTCCTAGCATCACACACTGAACAAAAGGTCAGCCTTCCTTCCCCATTCAGCCAGCAGCCCCAGCAGATCCTCCAATGCCAGTCCTGTGAGCTCTCGCTGCGCAAGCCGGGGCCCAGGGCACAACAAGCTTAGCGTCGACACCATCAAGTGTTTCATATTTTTACCAAAATCCGCCTTAAATGCTCCATCTTCAGAAGCTAATCTTTCCAATTTTGTGTAGGCTTATCTGTTTGTTCCTCTCAATAGAAGGTAATGGAATCACCACTGGATGTCAAACCAAAAATGGAGGGATTAAAATGGAAAAAAAGCTTTAAAATGTGACAGCTCCATCCATTCATGGAGTTAACATCCCCTTCCGAAAGCCTTTGAAAGATCTCAATGTGTAATTCCGAATACATAAAATCCTCCTTTCAGAGGGTGCAACCCTGCAGAGTTTTATTTTATTTTTTTTTAATTTAATTGCATTCCAGGGTCCTAGATTTTTTGCTCTCCTACAGTCTCCGTGACTTAAGCTTGGAGCTCCTTCTTTCCTGTTTTCCTCTAAAATATCTTCTACCTTTTCCACAATCTATAATCACCCTACAGAGAAAACCAGATGAAATGGGGTTGGGGCGGTAGGGGGGTGGCAGTAGGAAAGTCCTCACATCCACTCATGTAGGCATGAGTATGTGGTCTCCAAAACCCACGACAAAGAAAAGCAACTCGTTGCAATCGAACTTTTAAAACCGACAAGGAGGAAGACATGAGAGAATACGGGCAGCTATGAGAGTGATCTGCACAGAATCCAGTCCCCATGAGTCCCTCTGGGCCCTCAGCACTGTTACAGGCATTGTGGGTTTACACCATGGGACAAAGAGGGCTGGAGATGCTCTGATTTAATGAAATGCCTCCAACTTTAGTTTTAAATTGCTGGCATACCTCTTTGCCATCATTTTACAGCCACGTGTTCTCCCCACATACAAATACAGACTAAGCCTTCGCTCTGGGGTCAGGTCTCTTCTTTGATGGTTTACAATTTAAGTATCTGACATTTAGCAAAAACTTTACATTTTCCAAAGACGAATTAATCCCAAAGCTAAAAAGATCACTCTTGTAACCATTCCTTAAGATTTTGAAGGATTTTAAATCATGTATTTTTTTTTTTTTTAGTGGTTGTTATTTTGTATATTATTTGGTAATTTTCCAAAAACCTAAAGAATGATTGATAGCCTCATGAGTTGCTCTCTCTTTCCTATGCCTTATGATCTATGCAGGAGTTTTTGTCCATGGGTGGGACTTAGTAAATGTATAACCACGACTTTTCTAGCACCCAGAAGGTCAAAGGTCTGGGGCCCTGTAAGAGAAGCAAGCGATGAGCTGGAGCAGCAGAGCGGGAATAGCCATGCCTGTGTGTCAAGGTGTCCTACTGAAGGATATGAGATGCACAGATGAGGGGCCCATGAAGCTCAGGTGTCAGAGAGCAGTTCTGCTGTCTAGAAGATGTGGTAAATAAATCTGTGCTTCCTTTAATCTGTGCGGTCTCTGAACCTCTTTGTCTCCAGCAGAATGGTGAAAGTGAGTCAACACCACAGAAATGAGATCCCCCAGAGTCATACCCCATAGTTGAAATTGGTGTGAACAGAACATCAGAGCCCTGAGGATTTTTGGCCTCCTGCCTTTGAAATCTCTTCAATAGGAATGATTCATGAGCTAAACTGATTCTGTAGCAGCCGTCTCAGTGATATTCCCAGAAGGGCACCGTAAATGAAAAAAATCTAAGCTTGAAAGATTAAGGATTCATCTTACCCCACCCCCCCTCCCACCTCTCCTCACCTGTCAAGAGGGCCCAGCCTTTTGAAGAGCTATCCGGCCCTGAAGGCCTTCTAGGAGTCCACTAGAAAGCAGGGAGAGAAGGGGGTAAAAGGGGCCAATTCTGTCTGTAGATATGCCTCATCTGGATGACAGACTGGAGCCACAGGGCTTCACAGCCAACAAGGTGAACTGGGGTCACACTCTCAAGCGCCCAGAGGGGTCAAGTGTGTAAATTAACGAGGAAGGATACTGAGTGTAATTAACATTCACTCACAGTGTGCGTAGAGTAAACGGAGTAAACGGGCAGACTGGAGAGTCCAGCCCCATACACATGGGTTGGCCAGGGCCACCACGAGGGTATCATTTTAACAACTATTTTATCAAACCTCCTAGGTGACAGCCGCTGTTCCAGGCACTAGAAATGGGAACAAGACAATGGAGATTCCTGCTTTGGTGAAGCTTATACTTTATATTATGGTGTTGCTTGATCTTCAGAATTTTCAAGCAAATTTGGAAACTTAGAATTATTTGAAATCATTCCATTTTAACCACTGCTTTATATTTAAAAAAACAAACAAACGAATCAAAAAAAAAACAAAAAAAAAAACCCACCATTGTGCAGGCCAAATAAAAATATGTCGGTGGGCTGAATTTGGTCCTTAAGTCAACTTCTTTATTATCTGACCTACAGTTTTTTCTTTCTTTTGAGGAGACTCACTTCCCCTGAGGCCTCCTTTAGGGTAAATGATTTTTATAACAGACTTCCTCAGACTGGATGGACTCCAGTCCACAAGGATACTTACATTGCCGTTTAACTTATTGATGATTGTTTTTTAATAGAATTTATTATTATTATTTTGACGGAGCTATTAACAAAGGATTTTTTTAAATACTGAACTTCTGAGATTTTATTACTCATCACTATTTTAAAACTCCTCAGAGACACAATAAATTGGCCAAACATAATCATCCCCTTAATCATCTCTACTGCCCAGTAAAAAAGCCACATGGCACCTCAAATTTGGCTGGGAGCACCATTCTGTTCAGTCATCCCAGAGCCTGACGTCACAGCATGCTGCACTCTTACCTCCATGGTATGCGTTTTTCCCGATGAAGTCTGTCCATATGCAAAAATTGTCCCATTGTAACCTTCGAGGACATCTGCAAGCAAGGAAATAAATTAAAATTAACTAATTACTTTGATCATATGCATATTTTTAAATTACATTTTCTAAATGGCCCAGCTCCATTTGCATTTTGAGTAGAACTGTGAGATAAAAGCAGAAATGAAGGCTTCCACTGTTCCACAAATAAAGAGAAACAGACTCACGTTACTACAGAATATATTTAATGAAGAAGGAGGCAGACACATTTTCTCCCAGTAATGTTAAAATTAAGACAGATATTGAGCAGTATGCTTTCTTTTTAGTAGAAAGATATTTCAGTTTTCTTCTAAGTTGATCTCTTGAGATCAGTCAGAGGGAAAAAAACATTATCCATGCCCTGTGTCTCTGGAGTGAGGTACAGAATAGGATTTCTTTCCTGAAGATCTGATTTGGGTTCATTTAAACCCTGGCTCAGGTGAACTCCTTGAGGATATTTCTTGTGAGGGCTGC